CCACTCACCTCAGCCTCCCAAAGGCGCGGGATTACAGGCTGAACCACCAAGCCCGGCAAAACTAAAATTTTTAACTGACAAATAATTGTACATATTCATGAGGAAGATAGTGATGTTTTGTGATATTTCCATACATTTATGTACAGTGATCAGATCAGGGTAATCAGTATATGCTGATCACAAACATTATCATTCAACCTTTTGGTCTCACTCTTAGACCCTGAGAGCACTCAGGATCTGTGTGGAGATGGCCTTTGGTGGATAGCATCCTGGGAGGAAGATGGCAGATAGATATGCAGGAGCACTTAGGGATTCTGTGGAGATGTCCCTTGGTGGATGGCAATATGTAGGATGGTGGTTGGAGGTGTAGGAGCACTCAGGGTCTGTGTGGAGATGGCCATCGATAGGCATCGTGTAAGGAAGATGGAGGTGGAAGTACAGGAGCACTCAGGGTCTATGTGGAATGACCCTTGGTAGGCAGTGTCATGTAAGGAAGATGGTGGGTGGAAGTGCAGAAACATTCAGGGTCTGTGTGGAAATGACCTGTGGTGGACGGCACCATGTGAGGAAGATGGCAGATGGAGGTGCAGGAGCACTCAGGGTCTGTGTGGAGATGACCCTTGGTGGAAGGTGTTGTGTGAGGAAAATGGCAGATGGAGGTGCAGGAGCATTTTGGGATCTGTTTGGAGATGGCCCTTGGTGGACAGCATTATGTGAGGAAGATGGTGGATGGAGGTGATTTATTAAAATTAATTTTCCCCATCAGTTTTTACTTATTAATGTGTGTATTGGAAGAGTAAAGTGGCTCATTGGGCCATTCTTGCTGGCTGTCTTGCCATAGACATCAGGCTTATGAGGCCAGCACTGGTCCAGGCCACCTCCCTTGATGTGTCAGGGCCCTGCTTGCCACTTTTTAAGGGCCCTGCGATTTCTCACAGTATCCTGGGATGTGGTGTGAGTCATCACGTTGCATCTGTAGTCAGTGTGATGGATGTGTCCTCAGCTAAGGTCCAGCCATTCCTAGGGACTCAGGCAAGTTGGCTCATTTGTCAGAGTTAATTGAGGTTTCCCTGAGGAAAAACATCTAGTGTTCTTACAGCGAGCTGGATCATAGCATGGCTCCCATAACTTTCAACTTTTATTTAGGGTGACTAGGGGATGAAGCAAACAAAATTGTATATATACTATAGTCTCAAAGCTGAGTTGTTTGTGAGGTTATGTGGATATGAGGACAGGGAATAACTCCAGTGGAAAATGTAACAAGTGTCACTGCTAGTGCCATCTGACTAGCACTTGGACAGTTTTGTTTTCTTCCCTACCTTCTCTCTTGCTTCCTAATTTCCTGTGTGCACTGTTGCTATCAGAAACAAAAATATGGTGAGTCATGATGTCTGCCAAAGACAGGCTGTGAAGTCTGTAGAGAGAGTCATGCTGTCCACTAGAGATAGGCCATGGTATCCACTAGAGATGGGCTGTGATGTCCACTAGAGACAGGCTGCAGTGTTCACTAGATACTGGCCATGGTGTCTACTAGATATAGGGCCATGGTGTACACTAGAGACTGGCCATGGTGTCTGCTAGAGACAAACCATGGTGTCTACTAGAGATAGGGCCATGGTGTCCACTAGAGACTGGCCACGGTGTCTGCTGGAGACAAGCCATGGCGTCTTCTACAGATGGGCCATGGTGTCGTCCAGAGATGGGCCGTGGTATTTGCTAGAAAGACAGGACATGGTATCTGCTAGAGATAGGCCATGGGCTGTGGTGTCCACTAGAGATGATAATGGTGTCCTCTAGAGGTGGGCCATGATGTCTATTAGAGATGGGCCGGGTCTCTGCTAGAGATAGGGATGTGGGGCCGGGCTTAATGGCTCAGCCTGTAATCCCAGCACTTTAGGAGGCCGAGGCAGCTAGATTGCCTGAGCCCGCAGGTTCAAGACCCACCCGGGCAACTTGTCGAGACCTTGTCTCTACAATAAATCAAAAAAATTAGCCAGGCATGGTAGCGCGCACCTGTAGTTCTGGCTACTTGGAAGGCTGAGGTGGAAGGATCGCCGGAGCCTAGCAGGTCGAGGCTGTGGTGGACGAGAGCATGCCACCGCACTCCAGTCTGGGCAACAGAGTGAGACTCCAACTCAAACAACAACAACACCAACAACAAAAACAATAAAAACAAGATAGAGATGTGGTGTTCGCTAGAGACAGGCCAAGGTATCTGCTAGAGACGGACCAAGGTATCTGCTGGAGACAGGCCATGGTGTCCACTGGAGACAAGCTAGTTGTTTGCTAGAGATGGGCTAGGGGTCTGCTAGAGACAGGACCGTGGTGTCTACTAGAGACAGACAGTGGTGTCTGCTGGATACAGGCTGTGGTGTCCATCAAAGGAGACAGGTGGCCATGGAGATGGCTGGGCTGGTGCATGGGCTGGTGGAAGCATTATAGCCAAGGGTTCTGATAGGGACTTGTGCTTCCAGTGGAGCCATCTCCCCAGCTGTTAGCTCACATGGAGCCCTAGAGTCCTGAAGGACATTTCAATTTACTGTGAACTCAAATCACATTTTAAAGTGGATGCCGGGCCATGACATAAAACTCAGAGAAGAGGCTTTAGCAGATCTGTGTCCCTGATGCCTGACTCCAGGCAGGCCTCTTCCCAGGACATGGGCATTGGGAAGGTGCTCTAATGTGGCCAGGGCTGTCCCTTCTAGGGTGGCCAGGGTGATACTGAGAGTACGGAGGCAGGAGAGGAGGGTGAGCAGCACCAGCAGGGGTTCAGGGCGGGGGGACCTGCCTCCTAGGCACTGAGCCTCCTACCTCCTGTGGAGCAGCAGGGCATCGCAGTGTGAGATCATGGAGGGGGTGTGGGGAGGCCTCCTGATGAGGTCATCCCACCATCCCCTCCAGAGTGCTGACCCCTCTGTGTAACTTTCCAGAGTCCCATCCAGTTTTCTGTCATGACTCAAAGACGGAGTTTCCACCAACTCCCGGGGGGCGCGGAGGCCACTGTCTGAGTCCGCACTCGAACAGGGTTATTCATCTGTCTTGTGACAGTGTGGCAGGGACACAGCATTTAGAAGGAGAAACTCACCGCATGCCCTCGAGCTACCCCAGGTCCCTGTCATCCCCTTCTGTGAGGGGCACTGGAGCTGGGGAGGGGCTTTCCGCACGGCAGCCACCCTGGTGGGGCTCTTCCGGTTTTCATAGCTTGTTCGAATTTGTGATCTCATGCAAGTCCGCCTTCCGTGGAGGAGGCTGGATGTGAGCAAGACTGGATGTGAGTGCTGGCCCTCCTTCCTGGCCACTGCCTTCTGCGTCCTCTATCTTGTGGCTCAGACAACGTCACAGTATATCGCTAGTCTCTGGGATAGGGTGGGCGGTGCTGTGGGTGGGAGGCAGTGCCTGTGACTCTGAGTCCCTGCTCCTTGCAGACGACCGCAGGGTGGCTGCCCTGCTTGCTCGGGAGAGATGTGGCTCTGCCAGTCCCCAAAGGACATCTAGCATCCCCCAGTGTCATCGGTGGAGCCTGGGGAGGCTGCTCCCCAGAGCATAGTGCATCATTCCTGGGGGTCACTAGATGAGCTTGTCACTTTGTTGCTGGCCTCCCCACCGCCACAACAAAGGGCTCCCAATGGGTCTGCTGAGGGGCTGCCCAGTCCATGGGGACTCTGAGTGCTCCTCCCTTGAGTCAGACTCTTCCTGACCTAATCAATGACCCAGAACTTCCCCTGGAACAGGGTGTCATTTATTGCAATTGGGAGGTCTAAAATTTCTTGTGAAATGTGTTCCTTTTAACATCAGTTGGGTGTGCTCAGTTTCTGAACCTAGGTTCCACATGTTGCAGGTAAAGCAACACTTCACAGTGTGATTCATCTTTATGAATTCTGAATAGTGTGACACACCTTAGCTGAGAACACTGGCAAGGCAGGGATCACATGGCCTTCACCCTGTAGCACCTCAGGGGCAACCTTCGAGGCTCAGGACATCGCTGTGGGTGGCCTGTACTGCCCAGCCCCTCCTGCTTGGAGTCCTGCCCCTGCAGTGCCATTTCCCCCACCTCTCCCATGGGCTTGTTGGTGCGGTCCCGCCATGGCTGCAGAGTGCTGGTGTTTGTTTGTTCTGCCACGTGTATTTATGTTGAATCATCTTATGCCTGTGGACAAGAGAGAAGTTTTACATTTCTTTCTAAATCTTGTTTTTCTCACTTCCATCCACAGTCAGGTATAGACAGGTCAGAGCACAGGAACTGGTGAGGGATGGGCTCAGACCTGAGCTGCCCTCCTGGGTCCTGGCCCTGCTCCTGCAACCCGCCCCCCCATCGGGGGCAGGAATCCCACACCAGGTATCATGTCTCCACAAGGCAGGCCGAGCAGGGACACCAGGACAGCAGGGCTAGGGTGCAGGGATAGGGCAGAGCCAAGACCAGGCCCTGTGTGAGTGCTGTGGGTGCTGCACTGTAAGCTCTGTCTGGGCTCACAAGGCTCTACTGAAGTGTTGATTAAGTCTCGTGAGGATGGTGTCGGAGTCTGTGGGGACACGAACCTTGTATGATCTTCTTGTCTCTTCCAGATCCTGAGGAAGATGAAGGGGCTAGCCCTGGACACCGAGGCTGAGCTGGAGAGACAGGATGAGTCCCTGGATGGTGTTGCTGCGGCCGTGGACCGGGCAACCTTGACCATCGACAAGCACAACTGGCGCATGAAGAGGCTGACTTAGAGGGCCAGGCGTGGGGCCATGGTGTCCCACAGCCCCCCACCCCTGAGCCTGCTCACCCTGCATGTCCCCTGAGATAGAGGCCTGGGAGGTGGGGCTGTGGGAGCCATCATGATACCCGAGGAACCACCCTACACACAGGAATATGCCGCCCATCCCCAGCCTGGCTGGGATGCTGGGACCTGCCCTGGCCAGGCTGCCTGGTCAGGAAGCGGCATCTCCCTGTAGGCCATTTTGCTAAGCTTGAAAGAGGGTTCCGCCAGGAGAGACCCTGATACTGCAGCCCTTGGCCACTCAGGATGGGGGCTGTTCTCAGTGCCTCAGGACAGCGAGGCCCGACCATGGCACCCTGGGACGCCCACCACCCTCTCAACCCATTCCCTTTCATGCACAGGCTGGCTTTCTTTTCAGAGGTGCCATCACTTCCTGAGTGAAGTTAGAGCCTGGCACGCCCTGAGGGCATCCTGTAAACACCCAGCATGCTCTTTTATTGCCCATTTTTAGCCAAAAGTGAAAACAGCATGACTATCTTTTTAAGAAACATGTTGGTTTCTGCCTTTACGGCCCCATATCCATCCAGAAATAAAAGGGAAATGCTAGTTTCAGGACTGTTTTAAGGACTTGTGGGAGTTTTTTTTTCCCACGTGGTCCTGTGTGCACCTCCATCCTGCATGGAAGGATGGCAGTGGAGGCTGTTGCAGCAGCCTCCCGGGCACAGGAAGGCTGGAGCAGGCCAGGAGAGCTTAGAGTGCTATCCACGGCCAGGGATCTCACTTGTTGCCCTTCCGGGACCATGCGGGCTCCAGCACCCAAGAGGCCCAGTGCCTGACACGATACTGGCTTCCAGGGGCCACAGGGTGGCCAAGTTCACAAACAAGCCCTATAGCAGGAAGCCACCACTAAGGTCCAGGAGAGACCCAATGCCACAGTGTCCAGGACCACTCTCCCTGGGAGCTCTAGGAGAGGGTTCCCCTGCATCCTGGGCTCCTGTCCCTTGGGGTTGTGGCTGCCCCACTCCTGTTTCTGCTGCAGTTCTTGCATGGTGTCTCCGGTCTGCATGGTTCAAGCCCCATCTCCTTGCTCTTAGAGGATGCCTGCCTGGCCTCAGGGCCCCCAGTCCAGTTGGTCTCATCTTGAGATCACTCACTGATGACACCTGCCAAAGCTGTTTCCAATCAGGACCCACCATGAGGCTCCTCAGGAATCTGGGGGCTGCTATACAAGCCGCCAATGCCAGTGTGGGGTCCTCGACCCAGAGAAGCTGACGTGTTCAAGAAGACATTGAATGCACTTCTAGGTCATGTCATGTGGTACTTTCTTGTTCTTTCCTGTCTGTAGTTTGGTGAACTGTTGTCTCTTCTTAGTCTTAATTGGTTTGTAAGTAGCAGCCTCTAAAAGAGGGACTTGGGCTGTCCCTTCAGGGCTTCTAACTCGAGAGGTGATGGGAGAGCAGCAGCTCCACAGGCCTGTCCAGCCCCCATGGAACCAGCTTCACCACCATGCCTTGTCCTCAAGAACAGCACATGGAGACCTGGCCCAAGCCTGCAGGTGTGGGCTGCTTGATTTCTTTGCAGGCTCTCAGTATCACCCTGGCCACCCTAAAAGGGACAGCCCTGGCCACATTAGAGCACCTTCCCAATGCCCATGTCCTGGGAAGAGGCCTGCCTGGAGTCAGGCATCAGGGACACAGATCTGCTAAAGCCTCTTCTCTGAGTTTTATGTCATGGCCCGGCATCCACTTTAAAATGTGATTTGAGTTCACAGTAAATTGAAATGTCCTTCAGGACTCCAGGGCTCCATGTGAGCTAACAGCTGGGGAGATGGCCCCACTGGAAGCACAAGTCCCTATCAGAACCCTTGGCTATAATGCTTCCACCAGCCCATGCACCAGCCCAGCCATCTCCATGGCCACCTGTCTCCTTTGATGGACACCACAGCCTGTCTCCACAGGGAAATGCACAGGAAGGGCCACTGTGCCAGGCCCCAGCGACCCCAGGAGGCCAGGCCAGGCCACATGCTATGGTGGCTCATGCAGCCCATGTGAAACAAGATTCTTACCAGCAGCAACACGTGGCTTTACACTAGGGACTAAAACCCACATATGTATGCATGTGTACATGTATCCTCACGTCACTCTTCCAGGACTTCACAGTTGTGGGATGGGGTCTCCTGTGTTCTAAACCCTCAGTCTCCATAACCTCAGGGTGTAGGATAGAGGCTCCCTTGTCCTGACCTCTCATCCACAGGAACTCAGAGTGTAGGGTGGGGTCTCCCGTGTCCTGACCCCTCATTATCCATAGGACCTCACAGTGTGGGGTGGAGTCTCCTGTGTCCTGACCCCTCATCCATAAGACCTCAGAGTGTGGGGTAGGGTCTCCTATCGCCTGAGCCCTCACTCTGAAGAGGACCTCACAGTGTGGGGTGAGGTCTCCCAGGTCCTGTCCCCTTACTCTCCACTGGACCTCTCAGTGTGGAGTCGGGTCACTCCTGTCTTGTCCCATCACTCTCCAGGGACTTCACATGTGAAGTGGAGTCTCCTATCTCCTGTCCCCTCACTTTCCCAGGACCTCTTAGTGTAAGTGAGGTCTCCCGTGTCCTGTCCCACCACTCTCTACAGGACCTCAGAATATGGGTAGGGTCTAAGTTTTACCTCATGCAATTAGACAACTAAAGGAACTGAAATATACTGATTCAGAAGAAGAAAACAAAGTGTTATTCTTCGCAGATGAGAGCATTTTCTTTTTTTTTTGAGTTGGAGTCTCGCTCTTGTCGCATAAGGTGAAGGGCAGTAGCACGTTCATGGCCACCTCAGCCTCAACCTGCTGGGCTCAAGCGATCCACCTCAGCCTTCCAAGTAGCTGGAACTACAGATGCATGCCACCACACCCCGCTGTGTTTTTGTGTGTGTGTGTGTGTGTGTGATTTTATTATAGAGACAAGGTCTCACCAAGTTACCCAGGCTGGTCTTGAACCCCTGGGCTCAGGCAGTCCTCTCACCTTGGCCTCACAAAGTGCTGGGATTACAGGCTGAGCCACCACACCCAGCCTCATTTTCTACGTGGACAGTTTTAAGAAATGACTGACAAAGTTGTCTAGAAAAAGTAGTTATACCAAGATTTCAGAATATAAGGATAATGTACAAATGTCACTTTCCTCTTTAATGGACAAGTGTAAATTGAAATGAAAGTACCGTTTTCACTAGCCCTCCTAACCATAAAATACCTTGGTTAGTAAAAGTTGTGTATAAGGAAATCTCAAACCCTGATGAATGAAGTCAAAGAAAACTAAATACATGAAAGCTGTTCTATGTTGATGGATAGGAAGACTCTCTCTTGTCAAGACTTCAGTTTCCCAACTTAATCTATAGATTCAGGGCAATCCCAATCAAAATCCTAGGAAATGGCCACACCTAAATCCCAGCACTTTGGGAGGTCTAGGTGAGAGGGTTGCCTGAGCCCAGGGGTTCGAGACCAGCCTGGGCAACTTGGTGAGATCTCATCTCTACAATAAATCAAAAAGTTAGCCGGGCATGGTGGCACGTGCCTGAAGTTCCAGCTACTTGGAAGACTGGCGGAAGGATCACCTGAGCCCAACAGGTTGAGGCTGTGGTGGCCGTGAGCATGTCGCTGCACTCCAGCCTGGGTGACAGAGTTAGACTGCAACTCAAAAAAAAAAAAAAAAAAATCCCAGGAAGTCATTTTATGGATATCAACAAACAAATTTTAAACTGCATGTGGAGTGTCAAAGACCTAGAATAGCAGTTCAATGCTGACAGAGATGAATACATTTGATAGACTGGTATTATCTGATTTCAAGACTTCCTATGAAACTGCATTCATGAAGGCAGTGCGATATTGGTGAAGGAATAGATAAATAAAACAGTGGAGCAGAATGTGGGAGCCAGAAACAGCTGTACATGTGTATAGTCAGCAGATCTTTGATGCAGATGCTGGGCAATATGATGGAGAAAAGATTGTCTTTCATCACTATGCTGGGGCAGCAACAGAGACCTTATACCCTAGATAGAAATTCATTCAAGATGGATCATGGACCTAACTGTAAACATCATCAACTAGACCATGGAAAAAATATAAGTATAACCTTGGGTATGGTGATGACTTTTTAGATACAGCACAATACCAAAGCTGTGATCCATGGGAGAATTCATTGACAAACTGCTCTTCATCAATATGTAAAATCTGCTCTGCAAAAGACACTCTCAAGAGGGTGAGATAACAAGCCACAGACTGGGAGGACATACTTGTAAAAGACACATCTGATGAAGGATTTTATCCAAAATATAAAAAGAACTCCCAGAACCAGGTGCAGTAGCTCATGCCTGTAATTTCAGCAGCTTGGGAGACTGAGGTGGAGGATTGCTTCAGGCCAGAAGTCTGAGACCAGCCTGGGCAACACAGCAAGACCCTCATCTGTATTAATAATAATGATAATAATAAAATTCTTAAAACAACTAAATAACCCAGTTAAAAGTGGGCAAAATACCATAGCAAATAAGTCACCAAAGAAGATGGCAAATGAGCATATGAAGAGATGTTACACATCTTATATCACTGGAGAATTGCAGACGAAAACAATGAGATGCCACCACACACCTGTGAGGGCAGCCGTGTCCAGAATACCCACTCACCCAGTGTGTTAGGTACATGGGCAGCAGGAAGGCTGGTCACTGCTGGCAGTATGCAGCATGGTGCAGCCACCTTGGAAGACAGTTTGGCTTACAAAACTAACCATTCTCTTGCCATATGACCCTGCAGTCATGCTTCTTGACATTTGTCCAAAGGTATTAACAACGGGTCCACACAAAACCCATATGTGGAAGTTTGTAGCAGCCTTATTCATAATTGTCTAAACTTGGAAGCAACCATGATGCCCTTCAGTAGAAAATGGATAAACTGTGGTCCATGGACAATTATTCATTTTCAAAAAGAACTGCACCCTCCAGCCCTGAAAGAGACACGAGTAGAACCTTCAATGCATGTTACTAAGTGAGAGAAGCCCATCTGGAGAGGCTTCAGGCTGTGATTCCAACTCTGACGTTCTGGAAAAGGCAACACAGTGGAGACAGTGAGATCAGTGGTTGCCAGGGACTGGGGAGGGAGGGGTGGCAGGTGGAGCATGGGGACCTTCAGGGCAGTGACATTATTCAGTGTGATGCTTTCATGGTGGACACAGGACCTCCTATGTCCAAGCCCACAGGATGCACAGCACCAGAAGTAAGCCCACGTGTCACCTGTGGGTGATGACATGTCTACACAAGATCACTGTCAATAATAAATGTTCTGCTGTGGTGGGAACTTTGATATTGGGGGAGGGTGTGTGTGTGTGTGTGTGTGTGTGTGTGTGTGTGTGTGCATGTGCGCGCGCACAAGAGGAGATGGGCACTCGCTGTACCATCCACTCTTCTGTGAACCTAAAACCACTCTTTACAAAAGAAAGAAAAAAGGCACCATTCCCAAGCAATACTGGAGTCCAACAGAGCCAACAATGTCTTTTGGTTTTAAGGCTGGAGAATAAACCTATGTGATCTGAGGCGTTGCCCTGTGAGCCCAGAGCTCCCCCATAGTCATCTTCCTTTTTCTTTAAGGACAGAACCCATCCCAGCCCAGCAGTTCCGTAAGCCTGTTTCCTGTCCATAGGATTTTGTAATTTCAACACCCCTCTCCCACTGGGTCCTGTCCTTGTATCTCTCAGTCCAAGCTGGGAGTGTTTCTGCTGACATCAAAATTTTACAGACCCCATGGGTCTCCTGTGCCTCTCACAGGATCAGGGTCCTCCAAGCCCTCTCCTAGCCCATCCTTTCCTGGCCTCTGCCATGGGTGTGAGTGCTCACGGGCCACACAGTTGATCTATTCAGCAGAGCCTCACTGACCACACCCTTGGACTTCTCTCCAGAGCACACTTTCCTGACACGGGATCCCTCATTTCTGCATCTTTTGCCTTTTGGCAGGCTGGAAGTTTCCCAGATCATCAAGTGCTGACACTTGTTGGTTTGTATTTCCTTAACAGTTCTGTCCTCAGTTTCTCACTTTACATCTTGCTACGAGAATCCAGGAGAAAACAGGCCAGGCCTTGGATGCTGTGTTTAGAAATCTCCTGGGCTCAACGCTCACCAATCATGCTCTGCCCACCACAGATGCACCCAGCTGAGGGCCCTCTGCTTCACACATGCCCTCCAGCTTCCAGAGACCCGCTCCTCACCTCCTGCTGAGCCTCCCACAGACCTCCAATTCAAGCCATCTCAGCTCCTCCTGCCTTCCCAAGCCCCACTGGTCTCCCAGCTCTAAA